CTCACCACCATGCTCGCGCTCTATGTGGATGTGAAGTCGTACCCCTACGCGGATTCCGAGAAAGGGAACTAAGTAGGCCTCTCCATAAGACGAAGACGTCCAGGCACGAATCAATTCATGAATTTCACACTTCCCATAATACCTAGTAAAGATCACGGATATGACGTAAGATCCCCCCATCCGCCTTCCTCGACGTAATATTTCCAAAAAGTTCTATTGATAAACTGGTCAACTATTGATTTGATTTTTTTCTAGTATGCCGTGAATGCATTTTTGCTGGATTAGAGAAATTGACGTACCTTTTATCGTTCTACCTTCTACCGAAGACTCTCCTACTCGCAAGGTCGCAGTTCTTACGTCATATCCCATCCATATCCGTGATCTTTACTAGACATTATGGGAAGTGTAAAATTTATGAATAGAGTGTCAAGAAATCAGATCACGGCATCCACAGAATACATGTACGCAGATAACGTAACGTTAAAATTCGTTCTGTATACGTAAATAGATTGTGGAAAAAGTATTTTAATATTGTCAAAATAAAAATATTTGAGAACAGACGGAGTATTTTTCTGTATCTTCAAAAACTATATTTGTGAAATTTGAACGAAAAGCTTCAATAGGGAAAGTATAAGAAAACAAAGAAACATCACACATGGCATAATCAAACGGTATACATGGAATGTTATCCATCAAAAACAGTGCAAATATTTTTGTCAGTCTTATTTTTTTTAGTGGTAACTATCAAAAAGAGTGTAATTTTTAATACTAAAGTATCAACCAGGCTGAGAAAGCGTAATGTATTTGCCTTGTAAAACAGTGTATTGTATATTGTCACAGAAGGAGAGGAGGCTTTGGGGATCGAGAGGAAAGGGTTTTGGGGAGGTTGCAGGCAAGTGCTGACCCGAAGAGAATAGAAAACAGTTTGTTGTGGTTTGCATCTTTGAAACATGGTAGGGACGACGATAATGATGGTTGCAATATTTTTTTGTGTATCAGTGTACGTGGTTACACAGTGTGGATTAATTTAATTGAATACAAATAAATAAAATACATGTGGCCTCAAAATGCTTTGATTGTATCTTTTTTTTTTAATGAATTTTCAATATTGTCAGACATATACCAGACAGCCATCGGTAATTAAACTGACAGATTCCCTGTCTTAGGTTAAATGGGGGTGTAAGCAATCACACACAGCCTTTCAATGTTAGCTAGAGTTCCACGACCTCATGTCATCGCCAAATAGTATTAACATTGGAGACTGTATTTAATAGTATATTAAACATATTCTGTACCCAGTCTTATCTTAGGAAAGAAAGCCTTCTAAAATTTCAAAGAAATTACTAAATGTAGGTAAATAGCTTTCACAAAAGCATGTACAAATGTGCAATATATAAGGCCGCACATGGAACCCACTAAGTTAGTCCTGGCCTAGCCATAAAGTTAAGCTGCAATACCTTAAAAGCCGCTAGGGAGCCCATTGTTGAACTCTACCTCTACCTGTCATGTACCTATAAATACCTTTAAAAACCTTCCGCGTTTTCTCAAGTTATGTTGTTCAAAAACAAAAACTCAAAAATACACAACTATCTGCAGCAACGTAGGGACATCATAGGATAACCATTTTGACTTTAAAATTTGTTTTATAACCGCTGCACACTTACCAAATATCATTAAGATCCATTGACGGATTTTCGACTTAGGCTGCATACATGTACATTCAATGTAAAAATCCACAAAAAGCCCGCTGCAATCAGATTGGAAAAAGCCAGGTCTTCCAATTTTAAAACATTTTCAAAACAGCAACCCAAACATCAAACAAAAAAAATGCGCCACAAATAATCGAGTTATAATAACGTCGACCTACATACGGATCTACACCACGGTCAAAACGATTACCAACTCTTCTTGACGAAGACATTAAAGAAAGTGTTCCTGTGGTTTAAACTCAACTTTTAGAATAAAATACACAGAAAGGATATGTTTCATTTATTACGTATTTTGGTGTCCTTACATTTTCCTCACATAAAAAGATAAAAGCAAATTATAGATAAACAAACATATAGCATAGATATCAGTAACATATATGTGATAAACCGTTAGATAAAATCTCAGGTACAACCCCGCTAGAGACAATGCGTAATCTTCAAGCAGATAATTTGGGGCTGCTATATATAGAGCATCAAAGTGGCAAGACATTCGCAAGAGAGTATCATCAGTAGGGCAGTATTTAATACTGATGGAAAAAAAAATCAGTTTTATAAAAGAATCCTGACAAAAACGCCCTCACATGTTAAGGCACATGCTCCCCTCAAGCTTCTAATACGTGCTTCGAATTTAAGCATTTGTGTATCTTTATGTACTTGTTTTGAAAGAGCAGTGCTTGATTTGATGTGTAGCTTGGCGAGTACATCTTACCTACACAAACACATAACAACAAGGAAATAGATAAAAAAATAAAGTTAATAAATATCAAACAACGCGAACGTTACTTCCACCAACAACGACATCCGTATGCCTTATAACGATTCCAAATTTGGCGTAAATTAGAATTCAAGATTTGATAAATTATTGATTAATTTTGAGCAAAAATCTGAGCGATAATCTACACTATCCTGCTTTAAAAGAAGAACGATACACTGTAATGCTGACAACCAATCGCTTTCGGCACGGGGGTTAAATAGTATGTTGATTGAATTTCCACATCTATCTTTGATGCACATGCAAATGAAGTGTATGATGTCATTGTCACCTCAGGCAGCACCAAAAGAGACCGTTGTTGCCATGGTGATATAGAGAGACAGAGGCTCGACGTCCTTCTTCATAATTACCGTCCTGTCGTTGCGCTCGCTGTGTGTTGTTGCGTGCAGTCGGCTTCAGCAGCTCATCACCGGGCCAATTTTATTCCACAAACTCTGCTGTTCAACAGGTAAGAGCAAGACCCATCGCTTCATGATGCTATATTGAAGCAATATGTATATATACGACGTGGGCTAATTGTGTAACTGACGGTCAAACGGATAATTTTAGGCGTGTTTACACCAGTAACACTACCAAAAAACATATCTTTTTAAAATTTATTTCTAAAAGTAACCGTTTTGAGCTTTACCATATTGCACTTGAGTTCTTCTTGACATGTCACGGGAACGGGGATGGTACAGCGCATTTAGGCTAGTTGCATTTAAATTTGTCCCCAATATTGTCTGATTTGTATTGTTTGCTTGTGTCTATTTGTGTGTAACTTTTATGTTGTATTATGTCTTTGTTAATCATCTTATGTTTGATGGCGGCTCTTATGTAAGTGTATTAACTTGAGTGCGTCGTCATCACAGTCTTGTATTTTCGAATTCTTTTATGTGCTTTGAATATGACAAGAAAAAATAGAGAAACGTGTTACATATGGAAGGTTTTTCAGAAGATTTGAAGAGACGTGTATCGTTTGTTTTCATCCCCATGGTAACAAAATCTTTGTTGAGTTAACTTAATCACAGGAGGCTTACTATCGGTATCGATAGAAAAATTTGTGAATTATGTTATGGATCAACAAAATGTGCGAATGATACTTCCACTATAGCAAGTAAAGAGATGACCTATTTTATTTTTTTTGTTGCAACCCCCGCAGGGCATTTGTATTCCGAGCTACAGTTGATTTTTATGAAAACCACGGGGTCCTTTTTACTCTTTATTTCATTATGTACGACCCGAGGCGCAATGACGCACAGCTTTAGATTTCTCATCCAAGCCAGGAAGTCTATTATATTTCGTCTCTCTACGACATGCTATTGACTACACTTACATGTAATATAATATTTCTAAAACATAACGCTGACTTGCTATTCAAATATCTTTGTGTCTTTTTGGTCGTTGAGATATTTTTTTTGTCAAAATCTGATCGGCTAGAGAGTACTCTAAACAAGGGACTCGTCTTAGTATTATAATTATTCTGTGTAACATTTCAGCTTCGAAGGAATACGGCGGCAGCTGTTTACACTACACCAAACCACATTAACTCAAAAACAGCTGAGATTCATTGGCTGTATGTCTTTCCCAATAAATTTCCAAAACTGCATCGAGGAAATAAGATTTTTTTAGTTGTTTGAAAACCTTTTAAAAAGGAGCTGTTAGAAAATATGTTCACTCCTACAGCTTATTGCAGTTGCTTCAGCAGTCTATATAGATGTTGTAATTATGGCTGCTCCACACAACGAATAATTCATTGTATTCATGCAGACAAAAGTTGATGCAATCCATAGCTTCCAAAACTAATGTTACGCTACCTCACTCAAAATCAGATATCTTTAATATGTTCCTTTCATGCCCTACTCAGATATCAGTGTAGGTTGGAAAATTCATATTTGAATCACTACAAAAGATTGTAAATAGCTGATATATACGCTCAATTACTGGTACGGAATGTATTAATACTCTTCCTAAGAAAAAGCAATAGATTTGGTTTAGTATCATTAAGGAATAGCTCGTTAGAATTATATTTTAGTATTAGTTTGTGTATGTACCGTTGTTGTTTTTTTGCCATACATTGTACCAGCTACAGTTGTTGACCAATAAAGATTGATGAATTGATTGATTGATAGATTGATTGATTGATTGATTGATTGATTGATTTTTTTTACTGTCTGTGGGGAGGGGGGGGGGTCGTCACTGAATGCCATCCAGTAAATTTCTAGCAGCCACCGATTTATGAATAATTTATCAAGGCCCACGGACCCGGTTCTTTCACTTGTAGAGTAGCCAATTACAACTGATCCGGTGGCACAAGATGTGCGAAAACACGTACTTCACAACCATTGTTCGTCGATATATAGCGCTTATACATTACAAAGAGAATTTATTTTAGTAGGACTGCCATTTCTTTAGTTTGCAGCATGTGTTTTGAGAACGGGCAGGTCGGTTGTTGGTACGGGCGATGTGGTGAAGCCATTTGCTGCATTTGCTTCCAAACAAATTTCTGCATTTCCTGTTACAACCTGTTTCTCTTCTAGCTCATCACTTGTCAACAATGGCAGATGACGTGGAGAAGGCAACAATGGCAGATGACGTGGAGAAGGCCACAGCCATTATCGCCGCTTCCAACACCGAGCCGGCACCACCAATAATGCGCCCTCCAGTGATCGTCATACCATACGTACGGTGGTATCACACTATCAAATGGACCGTGTTCACCTGCCTTTCTTTCTTCGTGCTCTACCAAACGGAGTACGACCCGGTAAGTACTATTTACACGTTTGCACAGTAAAAGTACATCTAAAATAATACTGATTTCATACAGCATACAAAATGTATGTTTGTTTAGTGACTTACCATTTCGCAATAGAAAATGCATAGAGGAGCCGTATAATTTCTCTTTAAAACACGTTTCGGAGAGCATCAGCTATTTTCATCGCTTACTAAGATTGAGTCTGAATACAAATTAAACCTGTACACGATGGCTAATCTAAATCAACACATAAACGTGGTACGATGTGGCGTAACGGTTAGAGCGTTGGACTTGGAATTACCAATAGGTTCCGGGCTAGATACTCACCGTGGCCCGAAGTTGTGCCCTTGGGAAAGCACTCTACAAGACGTCCCCACCTGTACGGTGGAGTGACGCCCACCGAGGTCGAGCCTCTAAGGCTAATAAACGTCTGACTGTATGCTAAAAACACACTACGGATTTGGTGCGCCGATGTGTCAACATCTGCACATTTGCCACCGAGAGGTGTTAATTTCTTTCTTCTTTTCTAAGAGTACTACAGAGGAAAACATGGTGGGCTCGTGTTGTGCATGGGTTGACAGTGCTGGGTCCTATATACAGAAGACTTCAACAAGCAGCCCCCTCCTATGTTACTGTACATTCTCTCTTAGATAACAATACATCTACATGACATGTTTTATTTTGCATTTGGCATTGTTCCCGACAGTTTTTTGTGTGTGTTTCTCTGTGTCAAACTGTATTGAGGAACGTATTACCAAAGGCAGGGGAAACGTAGCTTTGATGTTGTTGTTTTGCAAAATGTTAACTCGTTGTTTTCTGCTCTTTCAGAAGGCTCCGGGTGTCTTCTGGATATTGATGCTGTACGCGGTGGGATCTTTTCTCACCACCATGCTCGCGCTCTATGTGGATGTGAAGTCGTACCCCTACGCGGATTCCGAGAAAGGGAACTAAGTAGTCTTCTCCATAAGACGAAGACGTCCAGGCACGAATCAATTCATGAATTTCACACTTCCCATAATACCTAGTAAAGATCACGGATATGACGTAAGATCCCCCATCCGCCTTCCTCGACGTAATATTTCCAAAAAGTTACTATTGATAAACTGGTCAACTATTGATTTGATTTTTTTCTAGTATGCCGTGATAGCATTTTTGCTGGATTAGAGAAATTGACGTACCTTCTATCGTTCTACCTTCTACCGAAGACTCTCCTACTCGCAAGGTCGCAGTTCTTACGTCATATCCCATCCATATCCGTGATCTTTACTAGGCATTATAGGGAGAGTGAAATTCATGAATAGAGTGTCAAGAAATCAGATCACGGCATCCACAGAATACATGTACGCAGATAACGTAACGTAAAAATCCGTTCTGTATACGTAAATAGATTGTCGAAAAAGTATTTTAATATTGTCAAAATAACGAGAGCACACGGAGTATTTTCAAAAACTATATTTGTGAAATTAGCAGTAAAAGCTTCAAAGGGAAAGCATAGGAAAACAAAGAAACATCATACAGAGCATAATCAACACGGTAACATGGAATGTTATCCATCGAAAACAGTTCAAATATTTTGTCAGTCTTATTTCTGTCAGTTGTAACTATCAAAAAGAGTGTCATTTTTATTACTAAAGTGTCAACCTGGCTGAGAAAGCATACTGTATTTGCCTTGTAAAACAGTGTATTGTATATTGTCACAGAAGGAGATGAGGCTTTGAGGATGTAGAGGACAGAGTTTAGGGAAGGTTGCAGGCAAGTGCTGACCCGAAGAAGATAGAAAATAGTTTGTTGTGGTCGGCATCTTTGAAACATGGTAGCGACGTCGATAATGATGATTGCAATATTTTGTTGTAAATCAGTGTACGTGGTTACACAGTGTGGATTATTTGATGTTATTCAATACAAATAAATAATATACATGTGGCCTCAAAATGCTTTGATTGTATATTTATTTTTATGAATTTTCCATATTGGCAGACATATACCAGACAGCCATCGGCAATAAAAAGACAGATTCCCTGTCTAAGGTGAAAGGCGGTGTAAGCAATTACACACAGCCTTTCAATATTAGCTAGAGTTCAACGATCTCATGTCATCTCCAAATACTATTAACATTGACGACTGTATTTAATAGTACATTATACATATTCTGTACTCAGTCTTATTTTAGGAAAGAACACCTTCTAGCATTTCAAAGAAATTACTACAAGTAGGTAAGTAGCTTTCACAAAAGCATGTACAAATATGTCATATATAAGGGCACACATGAAACCCACTGAGTAAGTTCTGCCCTAGCCATAATGTTACGCTGCAATACCTTAAAAGGCGCTAGGAGGCCCATTGCTAAACTCTACTTTTACCTGTCATGTACCTATGAATACCCATAAAACTCTTCCTCGTTTTCTCAAGTTATGTTGTCTACAAACAAAAACTCAAAAATACACAACTCTCTGCAGCAACGTAGGGACGTCATAGGATAACCATTTTGACCTTCAAATTTGTTTTATAACAGCTGCACGCCTACCAAATATCATTAAGATCCATGATTAATTTGATGTGTAGCTTGGCGAGTACATCTTACCTTCACAAACACATTTAAATTTTTTTTATTTTTTTATTTTTATTTTTTATTTTTTTATTTTTTTTATTTATTCGTTTATCTAAGAGATGTACATACAGCAAAAAGAAAACACATTTAAATAGTGGACCACACAAAACATAACAACATAGAAATTGATAAAAATAAAGTTAAGAAATATCTAACAACGCGAATGTCACTTCCACCAACAACGACATCCGTATGCTTTTAACGATTCCAAATTGGGGTAAATTAAAATTCAAGATTTGATAAATTATTGATTAATTTTGAGCAAGAATTTTTAGCAACAATCCATCCTATCCTGCTTTAAAAGAAGAACGATACACTGTAATGCTGACAACCTATTGCTAACGGCACGGGGAATAAATAACGCACGTCAATTGAATTTCTACATCTTTCTGAGATGCTTATGCAAATGAGGTATATGATGTCATTGTCTCCTGGGCGGCACCAGAAGAGACCGCTGTTGCCATGGTGATGTAAGAAGGTAGAGGATCGGCGTCCTTCCTCATAATTCCCTTCCTGTTGTAGCGTTCGCGGTGTGTTGTTGCGTGCAGCCGACTACGCCAGCTCATCACCGGGCCAATTTTATCCCACAAACTCTGCTATTCAACAGGTAAGAGCAGGACTTATTGCTTTAGAATGCTGTATATAAGCATTGTGTATATATGACATGGGTAAAACGTGTACGTAACTGACGGACAAACGCATAATTTTAGGCGTGTTTTCACCAATAACACTACCAAAAAATTGTATATTTTGATTAACCGTTTCGACCTTTACCATATTTCACTTGAGTTCTTCTTGACATATCACGGGAAAGGGGGATGGGACAGCGCATTATTTAAGTCATATTGTCTGATTTCTATTGTTTGCTTGTTTATATTTGTGCGTAACTTCCATGTAGTATTATGTATTTGTTAATTTTTTTCTGTTAGATGGCGGCACTTATATAAGTGTATTAACTTGAGTGCGTCGTCATCACAGTCTTGTATTTTTCTTATTATGTGCTGTTACAATGACAAGAAACATAGAGAAACGTGTAACATATGGCAGGTTTTTCAGCAGATTTGAAGAGACGTAAATCATTGGGTTTCATTCCGATGGTAACAAAATCTTGTTTGAGTTAACTAAATCACAGGCGGATAAAACTATCGGTACAGGTAACATTTGGGAGCATATGATGTTGGGAACATATGATATATAAACATGCGAATTATAATACCACTATAGCAAAAAAAGAGAAGACCTAATTCTTTGTTGCAGCCCCCGCAGGGCATTTTGTATTCCGAGCTACAGATGATTTTCTGTAAACCACGGGGTCCTTTTTACTCTTTATTTCATTAGGTAGGACCTGAGGCGCAATGATGACTTGCTTTAGATCCTTGAGCCAAGCCAGCGACATGCTATTAACTACACTCAATATAATATTTCTAGGACTAAAACATAACGCTGACATTCGATGCAAATATCTTTGTGTCTTTTTGGTCGTTGAGATATATTTCTTTAGTTTTTGTCAAAATCTGATGGGCTAGAAATGATACAGAATATTTTAAACAAGGGACTTGTATTAATATTACAACTACTCTGTGTAAAATTTTAGCTGCGAATGACGGTGGCAGTTGTTTACACTAAACCAAACCATATAGACTTAGTAACAGCTTAGATTCATTACCTTCGCCAAGAAGGTTATGTTTTCAGGGGCGTTCGTGTATGTGTGTGTGTCTGTCTGTCTGTCTGTCTGTCTGTCAACACGATAACTTGAGAAGGACTTAATGGATTGTCTTGATACTTGGTAGATGGCTAGGTCTTGATGAGACCTCAAAATGATTAGATTTTGGACCCCCTAGCGGCTTGTTATGGTACTGCAGCTGAACTTCCGGTTTTGATATCTCAAGATCCAGACATGCTATGGTGATGAAATTTGGATGGTAGGTAGCACTTGTGCTGGGGAAGAAGTGACCTGAGTTTGGGCCCCCTAGTTGCTTGCTCTAGAACTGCAGGGGGGTTTAAAGGACAAATATTTAAAAGAGGATAACTCAAGAACCGATTGATGGATCATCGTGATTTTTGGTATTTAGGTAGCTTAAGTGATGCTTGACATATTGATATTACAATTATGCAAATATTGATGTAATTTGCATAATTAATGAGGAAATTCTATAAATCAGCTGCATTCCATGATAGGAAGTTCAAGCTTGTAACATATGTTATTTAGAACGAGAGAAACACAGGCAAATATTGATTATGCAAATGAAGACTAAATTTGCATAATTAATGAGAAAATGTTATAATTGCGTAGTGGTAACTGCCTGGAATTTCATACTTGGGGTGTTTAAAAGTTAAGTGAAGGTGAACATAATTAAACATAACTTATTCAAATAAGGACCACATTCGCATAATTTATGAGAAAATGGCATTCTTTGTTAAGATAAGACTGTCTTTTGGTGGAGAATATCATCAACAGATTGATGTAATTCATGCAATTGAGGATCCTATTTGCATAATCAGGGTGATTAGTATATTTCTTATTCATAAAGTCTAACATCATTTGGCGAAGGTATGAGATCATGGAACTCTAGTTGGCTGTATGTTTTCCCCTGTAAATTTCCGAAACTGTTTAAAGAGAATATGATTTCTTAGTTGCTAGAAAACATTTTCAAAAGTAGCAGTTGAAAAATATGTTCACTCCTACAGCTTATTGCAGTTGCTTCACCAGTCCAGAAGTTTAATCATGGCTGCTCCACACAACGAATAATTCAATGTATCCATGCAGACAAAAGCTGATGCAATCCATAGCTTCCAAAACTAATGTTACGCTACCTCACTCAAAATCAGATATCTTTAATATGTTCCTTTCATGTCCTACTCACAAATCAGTGCACGTTGGAAAATTCATATTTAAATCACTACAAAAGCGAAACCATATTGTAAATAGCTGATATATCCCCTGAATTATTGTTACAGCATGTAATAATACTCTTCCTAAGAAAACACAATAGATTAGGTTTTAAATTAATATCATTATGGACTAGCTCGTTAGAATTATATTTTAGTATTAGTCTGCGTATGTACCGTTGTTTTTTTCTTTGCCATACATTGTACCAGCTACAGTTGCTGAGCAATAAAGATGATTAATGATTGATTTATTGATTGATTGATTGATTTTTTTTGGACAGGACTGTCTGTGGGGAGGGGGGCAGGTCATTTGTTGGTATGGGCGATGTGGTGATTTGCTGCATTTGCTTCCGAACAGATTTCTACATTTCTAACAACAACCTGTTTCTCTTCTAGTTCATCACTTGTCAACAATGACAGATGACGTGGAGAAGGCCACAGCCGCCATCGCCGCTTCCAACACCGAGCCGGTACCAGCAAT